TTCCGGAGAATGTGTGTTCAACCGCAGCAGTCATTCCTATTTGATGAGCATCTCCTGAAACTCTGTAGTTCTTCGATCTTCTGTCGTTTGCTTTCAGCTACGCTGTAGGTCCGAATGTTGTAATTGGGAAATTTCATTATTTCTACTCTCGATCAAACTTTAACGATCTAATTTTTTCAACCACTAGCCCTATAACAAGCCATTACTTACTCATCTTCTAGTCATGATCTGGTATCTTTTACTACCATGATGGTAGTTTATTCATTTTATCAACTAAACTACGCAACACCAATTTCTTCGGACCCCAAAATGTTGCCCCTGTTGAAATATGAATGATTTTTTTCTGCTTTGAACAATTTGATTCCAGATCACACTTTTCGCTAGCCCAAAACTTCTGCTATTATCTCGTTTTTCTTTGAAACAGGAAGTTCTTTACATAAAATCGCTATATAGGGTGTCACCTGAAACTATGAACAATTTCGGAATTTTCAAAATGAACCCAAATGAACAAAAACTCCCTTTTTCCAAATTTGACAGCAGAAGACTGAAGATAATACTATCACTACAGGACATTTTTCGAATTGTCTTCTTATCTCTTCCATTAACAGAGTGATCTCAAAAAATCAACTTTTTGGTTCTGCAATCATAACTTTCTTCCTTGACAAATGATTTTTGATACTCAGGGGCCCATTTCAAAGCTGAAACTCCAGCTGAAAATATATGGGGATCAGAATAGACTCAAGATGAACATTATACAGTGTGTCTGTTCTAATGGAAGCATCCCTGTATCTTCCGGAGTTAGGATTTTTCTTTCTGCAGGAGCGGTTGATATACTGAAAATACACACTTTGATCAAATTTCCAGTCCTATACACTGCTCACCAACAGCCATGGAACCATCCAAAAAAATTAAATTAGGAGGCATGATAGGTTGAAAAGCACTTCTGATTGGAAATCAGGACGTCCAATTCACTGACCTCTCATATCTTTCCTGGAAATTTTTCCGTTCTGACAAATTGATTTTTGTCTCACTTCTCATGAGAGCATCTTTGTATCTTCTTCTTCCTCCTGCAAATTTCAGGACCCTACCTCAAGAATCACGTAAGATACCTACGGGGGTCCTTCCATTGGAAGTGAAAAAAAATCCCAAAAGAGAAGATTTTTCAAGCAAAACAAGTATAGTTAGTGAGTGATTTTCAACCTATCTTGGATCCTGATATCGTTTTATGAAAATATGAGCGAGAGAGAGAGAGAGTGGAGATGACTTCACTTACACTACACTGTTTAATTACCACTAACCAAACCGATTTTTTAACGCCTCGACACGTGTTCCGCTAACTATGTTAGCATCTTCAGGAGAAAATCAAACTTGGTCAAAGTGTGTATTACCAGTATATCTCCCGCTCCTGCAAATTTGAGAATCCGAACTCAACAATTTCGAAAGTTATCAGGGTACTTTTATCAACAGTGGGACTCACTGTACTTCAAGAGTTTTTTCAAAGGTGACCCAAATCTGGAATACCCTCGAAATCCCTGTTGGGAGGAGAATTATATAAAAATTTACATTTTTTCGGAGGAATATTCATTTTCAATGCGTCCAGATCTTTCTCCTCTTCAGTAATCAACGTTCATCGTGAGAAAACCCAATGGATGTTAACATTTCCAGTCTCACCAATTGGCGCTACTAAAAGATTAGGTCAACGTCAAAGTAAGAGGACCCAAAACTTTGCCGAATAGCCCTGAAGGCCTGTTATTTCATAAAGAATATTCGAAAAACATTATGTTGAATTTTTGAAATAATAGAGAACCTCAGACTTGCGTTTTTTTGATGTCAATGTGGAACGACCAATTCTTACATTGATGGAGATGAAGATATTATGGCAAAAGGCCAAATGACACAAAAAAAATTTTTCGAAACGAAATCAGCCCATTGTTTGCCTGAAATGCATGACCCGATCAACGTTACAAGAATCACGATGATGGACTGACAAGATCGATCAGCTGAGGCTCATTCCATGATTATTGGTATTTTCTCAATAGTGAAGCAATTATGTGTAAGTGAGCAGAAACAAGAAAACAAGTTTCATTGAGTTTTTATTTGGTCAATTTTGATGTGGTCTTTCCCACAATCGCCTTGCTGCTAGATGAACAGGTTTCAGTAAGAGGTAAGGCTGCTCGCCTCCTCTCGTGTAATCCAAGATTGTGGATAAGGCATCGGATTGTCTGACCATCGTCATTCTAGATGACAACCTAGTGTGACATATTTCCTTCCCGGTAAGGTCTTATAAATAAAGAAATGATGATTTCAATAATAACTGCCATGTTTAGTTGCTTGCCTGATTATTTCAAATACTTCGGAATATACTGATGAAACACTCGGTATGTGGATTTCATATTTTTATACGCGCTATCGCGATAATATCTTTCACGTCTTTCGTATCCTAGCTGGTCCTCCGAAATTATAAAAAAGTGGCTCACTTGGTGAAAACGTATCGATATTGATTTGGGTATAGGAGATAGTAAATGAGTGAGAATTAGATGGTAAACGAATGGATGAATAGTTTGAAGCGTTCTGAACGGATTTTTCACTATTTTCATTCCTACACGACGATTTCCTTTGGGTCTCCGGAATTTGGGTTGGAATCGTCGAGTTTTCCTCAGCTTGGAGGATAAGTTTTGTTGCATTGTATGGAGCGTCTCTTAGTGCATAGGGAATCGTACTAGAGGTGAGTTCCTCTAAATAACACTTTAGCTACTTTACTGTCTCACGACTAACGGTGTTGACGTTTTTCAATACTCTTTTAGGCGCTTTGGGTCGATTTTTTCTTTACCTAGACAAATTTATTCGGCAACCAAAGTTTGTGGCAATCTATAGACACTTCCCAATCTACGTTCTTAGTACGGGGTGATTCTCTCGTGAGGTGGTGATTGACAGTTCATCGGCCGACATCCGAGGACTCAGTTGCAGTACCAATCCTGATGCTTCAACGCCAGCTTCGCAGATAGGAAACGAGAGACTGATAAGTACCACATAGTGGATGATTTTTCTATAGTCAGAGTGTTGAATCGCAGTAGGAAATAAGACATAATCAGAAGTATTTTTTCCCACGTTTCGGCCTATTTGATAACTGTAATTATTTAGGATATATGTTTCTAGTTGTTGTTCGAGGACAATGTTTCGTTTTTTTGGGTAACCTTGTCCTCGGATATTCTCTCGAGAGCCCTTTCGTTATTTGTATATTTATTTTTTTCATTGTGATACTCCCCTGAGACTTTCAGAATATATAATGATATTTATGCTCAAGTATTAGTTCCTTTATTCCTATAGTAATTGAGGCTAACAAGTAAGCATCTGGAGATTTAGTGATTTCAGGTACATCATGGTGTATGTGTAAGGAAAATCACTTGGCGCCCTTATCTGAGTAATTTTTTTGTCAGCAAATAACCCACCCCCGACTCCACTGAGGCTTAGGTCGGAGCATACCCCTTCTCCTAGTCTACCGCTTACTTTAGTAGCTGAATTGTACGTAACACTAGTTAGCAAGTTAGTAGGCCAGAACTATATTACCTCCTCGCACTAGGTCGCCTACTAGGTTTTTATCTAGATCGACAATAGTCTGACATCAAACCTGATTTGCAGTAGCATTGATCAATTCATGACGAATTTTTATGCTTGAAGTCTGGGTCCGCCGTACCAATTTTCCAATAAGACGGTCTTGAGTGGAAGTCGTTCTTCTTATTGTTGCCCTTCTTGGCTTGCTCGGTTGGAACAAAATATCCCCAGCGTGAGTGTCTCCATGGCTGTTGGCAATCAGTGTATATTATATCACTGGAGATGACTCCACTTGGTCAGGTAGTAGTGTGTATTTTCAGTATATCTACCGCTGCTGCAAATTTCAGAATCCTAAATCGACAATTACTGAAGATACAGGTATGCTTCCATTAGAAGTGTGACACACTCTATGATCAACTACGAAATAGCCACAATGCTCAAAGTGGAATGATATGTTAAATAAATGCAAAAAGCTCAAAGCAAAAAGCTCAAAGTCATTTCCACACAGTGTTCATAAACAACCATTGTTGTTCAGTTTATGAACACTGTGTGGAAATGACTTTGAGCTTTTTGCATTTATTTAACACTCTATGATGTTCATCTTGGATCAATTATGATTTTGATATCTGTTCGTCTCAAGTTTCAGCTTCAAAGGGAGCCTGAGATTTTAAAAATCGGTTGACGAGGAAAAAAGTTATGACTGCAAAACCCAAGAGTTAATTTCTTGAGGTTACTCTGTAAATAATAAAGATAAGAAGGCAATTCGAAATATGTCTCAAGGTGATGAGGTCATCCACATGCCTCCGCTGTAGAAGTTAATCACTATTGTAATTTGATGTTTTCCAAACACTTACCTATTGTAATACACAACTGATGACATAAGCTCCTCAGACATTTCACGAATTATGAACCGAAATATTTTTTAAGAAATCAGATGAGGAGTTCGAAAAGTATCTGTTTTTATCCATAATGAACAAAAAAAAAATCACCTCACGAAAATCAATGACATAGCTCGACTTGATCTCCATTTTTTCCAATCCCCATCATACTTCGTGTACTTTATTACACTGTTTTTGAGAATCTGTTTGAGAAGTGCATTCCAGATCAGTGGAGTTTTTCTCTTTGTTCTGCAGGTATACACTGTAACTCAAAAACTGATCAAGAAGTAATCAAGGACGGATAAAATCGTGATGGAGGATCGCTATTATTTCAACCCATGTTCGGCCTATAGATAGTGAGAAATCAGTGTCATCGAATATCGCAATTCAAGATTTGAATCGAAATCTCCCACTACAATTCAATATTTTTATTTGTTTGAAATGCTTTACTAGAGGACTTGAATGAATTTTAATCGTTGAAACCTCAGTTGCTCCCGAATATCGAAATTGATATTGATGATTTGACGTGTATTACCATGGCATTATAACTTGAAAAGAACGATAGGAATAGTTTAATGAAAATGACAATTTCGACATTTACATAGGTACCTTCTTTGAACACAATGAAATTTCAGACAATACAGGTGACTACAATGATACTTCAAGACATAAACTATAGAGACACATAAACATTGATCCCGTTTTTATTCACACGAAATGAGTTCACACGTTTCCCACCAAACTATTTCTGGGTGCTTGCAGGAAAGATCCTCTGCCATGTGTCGTGCCGTTGGTAGGTTTGGAAGTTCCTCCATTCACTGTTATCACTGTTGTGGTGGTGATGTCGGAGGTGCAGGATTCTCTTTTGTGGTACAAATTCGTTGGTTGACTGTATAACCTGAAACCGAGAGTGTTTTTGATCAACCATTCATGTCCCATCAACAACCAATCATCGCTGAACTTATAGGAGATGTAGATGAGTTATATAGGTAAACATCAAATGCACGAACTCTCGTCAACAGGGGGCTCATCAATGAATGACAATAGAAGAATAGGGGTGAACTGACATGGCATTTTCAGTTAATCATCTTGATAATAATTGTAGATGAAAATTTGTAAAACATTGATCAAATCTCAATTTTTGACTCCCAGTATATCAGAAACGGAGCTACCACACATATATGTGGTCACATGAAAATTTAATCTTAAAAATATGTGTTCTTCGAACTGTTGAAGTCCTGCTACAAAAACTGACTCACTCTGTTCACGCACCAATGAGCACCAAGTTAGTTCGATTATTATGTTTCACATTTCACAATGTGACGTTTCCATACTGATAATTAGTTGGTAAAAAATTACAGCGATGATTCTTTCGAACATCATAAATGTCTATCGACACCTTCAGACTGGACAGCCAGAGATATTGGCCCCTTACTGAGACAATGGTCAATTCATCCACCAATACAACCTATATGCTCTGTCCTGGTCCCGATATTCATGCTTGCTTGAGGTCCAAGTGAAGTCTCTGCCTAAATTCTAGAATAAATCTGTCATGTCAACGAGTGAGAACTTTTGAATCAAACGAGTTTGATGATATGTGGTTCAAAATCGAATTGGTGGTGTAGATATGGTCTGATGTGAATATTTTTCTTGTCTCTATTTATCATCGAATTATCCAATCTTTGAAGTGCTCTCCGAGTTCTTGCCTTTGAAGCAGGACCATCGCCACACTACGATAAAACGAATGAAGCTGGGCGACAAGCCGAAGTTTTGACACGAATTCCTGATGTCAACAATCATTCAGCCAACACACTCGACTTATTCCTCAATTCAGCAATTCAGCACCTCTCACCATAGATTTACGAGCCTATACCATCGCTGGCGTCAGGACCCTTGCCTCATGACTAGAGCAGGACATGTTGGAGCAAAGAATAACTGCGGCCAAACAATAGATGCATCAAAAGAATCATACAATGCCAATATAAGATCAAAACTCATAGATTGTCCCAATCGTTCCCGTTCGATTTGGTCCTTCGTCAAAGCAATCGGAAGTACCTAATTTCACTTATAGTTCATTCCCACTACTCTTCAAAGCCGACGGTAACAACATCGCAAGAGAATGCGAAAATTTTTGCAGAGATATTCGCAGCAAACTTCACTTCGGATTTCCTGGAACAATAAGTGCTGCAGGACATTCCACCCGTTGGAAGTCTGGCAGAACTACTTGGTCTCGAAACATTTCCCACCCATTATCCTTGAGAAGTTAGCACTATCAGACGCATTCTGCTCGGTGTCGAAACATTTCCCACCCATTATCCTTGAGGAGTGTACAACAGAATTGACACCGACTCTCTGCGAGCTATTCACCATCTCCTAAAAGTCGGGTAATATCTCGCTGGGAAATAGCTCAAGTTCACCTACTCCCAAAAACAAAAAAAAGGAAACAGGAGCCTTTCCAACAACTATATAGGCCACTTCCCCTTTTAGGTTAGGGATCATTGATACTACTCTCGTCACCAAAGATCAACTGGAGATTCACTTGCCTACGTCACCCCTATATAACTAGCTTAATCATAAGAAAATTATGGGGAACCTCTAGCTGTAGCGTAAGATATATCGAAGGCATTTGACCGTGTTCGGCACCAAGGACTGCTCCACAAACTACCATCATATGGCTTACCACCTCAGCTATGCCATTTATCTTTTATCGCTTCATGAGGTGGTGAAGGGAGTATTGCTGGATTCCATTGCCATCGATTCCGGCGTTCAACAAGGATCAATTTTGGCACCAACATTGTTCCTACTTCATATCAGCCATCTGTTGGGAGCAACCACCGTTTCTTCCTAGGAATCTAAGAACTCCCGACGAAGGCAGGCCAATGCTGTCAATGAAAATCTTGAGGAGTCAACAGCCTAGTTGAATGCAACGTCACCAAAACACATGCCTCTTTTTCTCCATGCACTATATTTATGCTGGGTATTACCATCAGCAATACTCACTCATGGAAAAATAATGTTTAATTCATCGCAAAAATGATTCGGATTCTTTAGTTTCATGCAAAAATCTAGTTTACACCTCAACAGTTTCTCATGATCTACAAAGCACAGATTCGGCCAGAATACTGTTCTCATGTATGGGCTTCAGCACTCAAACATACGCTGATGCTCTTAGATTCCATATAAAGGAGAGCCTGGTGGGTGATGACACACTCACCAACTCTTTGACCCCATAAGAACACCATGGAAAAGTCGGTGGCCTCAAACTTCTCTATAGATACTTTCACAGAAAAATTTTCTCAGGAATCTCTGCTATAATTTCATCATTTGCAATACCAATCAGACGAACTCGACTGGTCCAGTCGTCTCAATACATCTTTAACCTTGAAATATGTCGAACATCACTCTACCAAAACTCTTTCGTCTATAGAATGGCGAAACTTTGCCAATGGAAGTATTTCGAAGAACTTATAACCTCCAAAAGATCAAAAGAACGTCCAATACCTTTTCCTCCTCGCCCTATCCCTCCCTAGGTTATTACGCAAGATGTTCCAAGAACATTATAGGAATTTTCGTTCGTGCGCTCCAAGAAACGAAAAAAAATCAGCTTTTTTTGACATTAACAAGACTTGATGAGAGTTGCTCGAAGAACAAATATCGAATATAACTTCCAAAAGTTGAAATAAAAACTCCACAACGCCCACCTTCTCTTCCTATCCTCCCTCCCATTATATGAATTTCTTCTTGTGCGCTCCAAGAGATGAAAAAAAAGAATTATTTGGGAATAAAATAATCACGGCAGGTATTATCTATCTGGTAAGGAAACATGATGTCGGTTATTTAATGTAATTTTGTTTTCGATTGGTCGAAGAAATATGCAGTTATTTATATCTTACTTTCAAACTTTTTTAGCGAGTTTCAGAAGTCAAATTCGAAGTAGGAATCTCCGAAAACCCGCAAACACTATATGATTTCCTTGTCCCTTGTCTTCGCTAATCTTCTAAAACAGGGCAGCCATTTGTTAACTCTCAGCTCCATCAGCTTTCCAACTTTTGAAAATTGATTCCTATATACCTAGCTAAGTCCTTTTCCAGCAGGTATACATCATCCGCTGGAGATAATCCCAGATAATTTCATTCTAAGTGAATACTGCGACAGGCTTCCAGGAAAACACAAGGCCCTATACTTCACTGCACGACTCCCTATCGATTTTCAGATGAATAATTGACAACTTGCATATTCCGAGGATGAATACACTGGAGTATACAGGATGTCGCGTATTTTGTAAAATTAATTCGAACGGAGCATGCCAAAATATCAGGCATTTTATAAGTGTTTATAATTGACTAGAGATTAATTATGATTCCGGTGATTATAATAATGAATAAGTGTCAAGATATTTTCCAGGAGGTTATGAAATGTTTCGATAGTCAGTAGATCAATATGCAAATCAGGAGATCTTCTGAAAATGCAGTAGAACCGGCAACCCTGTAAAAGTGTTTGCGGATGAAAAGTTAGTTTTGAGAAAACAAAGTTCCTGGCATTTCCAAAAAAAAAGAAGGAACTCCGCCATATTGGATTGTATGGTTATCGACTCAGAAATGGTTCAGAAAAATCTGTTTACGAATGTAGAAGTTACAGGGGTGACCCGATACCCTGTGTCACTCGGTATATATTATAACAGAGCTTTTGTAACGGAAATAGTATATATTTTCGCATGCGTATAGGACAAAATATTTTGTTGACCCAATACATATTTTTTCCCGTGTTGGAAATCAATCTTCATTATCAAGATTTCTACTTTTTCAAACCACTGATGATATTTACAAATTTGTTATTCAATCAGTCTGAATAAAGATATCATCAAAATATAATTTGATAACAATATAGAGTTCACGTAGCCACCCAGCAAACGTTTTGATATGAGACATTAATGGCCTAATATATTATTATATTCCCCATATCTCACATCAGCGGCCCAGTGAATGCGGGACTCTGTATATTAGTATACACTGCGGCCGGCTACTGTTCCCAGTGCTGGGTGCCCAGTAATCACATGCAGATCTCCGTCAAAAGGCCAGTACAATATAATCGACACATCGAGATTCCCATACCAAGCTCAGCATATACATAAATAATGGGACCGTAATGACCAATTATCGACATTGGTTACATACTATCAAGGTAGGGGTTTTAGGGGTCCAATGGATCTGAAAGTTCTAGTAACTCTGTATTTCTCAATATAACCCTCTCATCGTATTATATCGGACAAACACATACCGGATATCAAAGAAAACAATGTCATGAATCACTCAATGATGATGAAATTTCTAAGATTGACTGCCTACTGGCTGGTACGTGGTATCTGCATCTACATCTTATCAGGGAGCATTCCTTAAAAATGGATTCTTCGTTGCGAGGATCACTCCTGAAATATTTGATTCATCAGTCTTGATATCAGAATCAGAATGAAAAAAGAAATACTAAATACTGTCTGTAGGTTAATCGAGGAGGTGGTATATTCATTATTCCAAATTTTTTGGGATTTTCTCTCCTCGTTTCTATAAAATAAAAATATGAATATTATTTCAATATACGTGTAGTAAGGACAAATCAGATGATTTGCCCCAAATTGTCACTGCGTTTAAAGAATTTTCCTATCAGAGAGCCTAAAAGAAAAATTCACTAGCTTGTCAGTGACAATTTGTATTGAAAAATTTTTGGAGAAGAGAAATAAAGGTATATAGAAAAAATATCAAATTTTCACTTATCTTTTGACGTTTCGGGACCGATTCTGCTCCCGTTTCATGTTGAAAACGGGAGCAGAATCGGTCCCGAAACGTCCAAAGATAAGTGAAAATTTGATATTTTTTCTATACAGGGTGTTTCGAAATTCGACCG